GCCCTCCTCCCATATATAAAAGGCACTACAGACAAAATTAGCAAGATCCTCCAAAAACACAACATCAAAACAGCATTCTGCACAAACAAAAAAATATCCACCATCCTAAGAAACCCCAAAGACAAAATCGAATTAGAAAACCAAGGAGTATACGAAATCCCCTGCACTGCCTGCCCTACCACATACATTGGACAAACTAACAGAAGAATAAGTGCACGCATTGAAGAACATAAGAACTCAATCAAAAAAGAAGAAACGACCTCTTCCCTGGTCCAACACCTCAAAGCCACAGGACATGAAATTGATTTTAAAAATACCAGAACTATCGCCAAAACCGAACACTTCAACAGCAGAATAATCAGAGAAGCCATAGAGATAGAAAAACGCCCACACAGCATGAACAAACGAGATGACACCTCCCGCCTTCCAGCCATTTAGAAACCTACCCTCATGAACAGACGAGTACCTAACATGAAGAAGGACACCAGACCCACACCCATGAGAGCCACACAAGATACCACCACCACACTTCCATATAGAAAACAGACTCCCACCCATTCAGAAAATGAGACACAACCATGGACCAGAAGCTGCACTGCAGCTGCATCACTACCCACTTCAAACCCCTCTGAGCCATACATGAAGCAAACCGACACCCACTATGAAGATGCAGCAGGACCACGTACTAGAAGCCAAACAGCAAGATCACAACTCACCAGCTCAAATCCCCCAGCAACTAAAACTAACCTGAGCACAACCAAGCCCCCACCTGAACAGAACACGCCTCCAACCAATCAGAATACGGCTAACCCCCCAACCAATCAGAACACAGCCAAACCCCCTACCAATGAGAACACAGCCAAGCCCCCACCCAATCAAGTCCCACCCCCACTGGCAGTTAAAAGGAGGAAGCAGCTGCAATCTCACATTACTCTGAGAAGCACAGAGCCGGAGACAAAAGCCTGAAGATGATGAATGAGACTTCATCGAAACGTTGCCTAGATACTTCGAATCTTACGCGGGAGAAAACCCGAACAACCAAAGATCCACATATAAATATATGTATATATATATATTATGCAGAAAGCACTGATTTCCCAGAAAAATTGTGAAGAAGCTCAGATTACATATTTTGTCACAAAGGCAATGTATAAAGAATTTCCTTTTTCAGAATCTGAACCTCCCCCCACAATAGTTTTAATTTCTTCTAAGCCTTTATTTTTATCATTCTATTATAAAATAATAATTTAATTATATAATATTGTTTTATGAACTTTTGGAAACATAGTGATTTTGCACTAATATCATTTTTAAATGGGCATCTTGATTTCCAATCATAGATTAATTTCTTGGAAACTTGGCCATTACAAAATAAAGTGTTATGAAATATCTCATAATCTATTTTCCATTTTTTAGGAGGAATATACCCTAGAGGATTTTTTTATTCCTGATTTTTTTGTTCCTGAACTGGAACTGAGGCATTTATATTTGTGCTTCAAATTTAGACTCTGAAATCATACCAAGAGTCCACGGTTCATCGTTATAGCTTTTATGTAGTCTTTATACGGCTTGATAATGACATACAAAACTAGGCTTGACGCATTAGTATGTTACATTTTAAGCATACCGTCAGAGTAGATTTCAGAACTGCACCAGATATACTACTGTGACGCATAGAATCCCTATAATTTCTTTTTAAATCCTATCCTCTCTAAATATGTTGTTTTCTAACACAGGAGCTAGAAATGCAAGCACGTGCCCATGGACTACCAATCATGTCTTCAGTCAGTGTGGTTGACTTAACATCCAGGGTCATGAGACAACTGGCATATCCGGAAGAGAATTCAATAGACTACATTCAACATCTAGCCACGGCTCATGAGCAACACGCTGATCTACATGACCCAGCTGCGGCCTTTTCTGATCCACTCTCCCATTTTACAGACTTGTCTTTTAGTGCTGCCTTAAAAGAACAGAGACTAGAAGAAATACTACTAGATGATACAATATCGCCACTTGGGATAGACCCTCTATTATCTTCTATGTCTCCTGCTGTAACTAAAGGAAGCAGCCGAAGGAGCAGTTGCAGTTCAGGTGATAGTGATGATATATAACATACAAGAACATTCCATAGAGAGAATAAAAGGAATTCTCCCTTGCTTTACTGGTGCTATATTTATGTTACTGCTTATTTCAGCTTAATCAGGTTGATTGCTGACATAATCTGTTTTGGAAAGGGTTGAGTATGAAATAAAAAATAAGAAGAAAATTTTCCAGTTTTGTAGAAAGTAGTAAGATTTTACTCTCAGGCAAGGTGGGGGGGGGGCCACACATTTATAAGGATAACATTGCTTTTCATGCACACAGGGCATCTTAATTTATTCATTACAAAGTCACTGAATCATGGAAGGAAGTTTGAGATAACTCTTTGGCCCCTGTGCATGGAAGTTAATATGAAGAAGGCCAATTGTACCTTTTTATGTAGAAATATGTGTAAAATCTACTTACATGACTTTCTTGTTTGGAAGGGATGACCCAAACAATCAGACATTTTGTATCATTCTTATTTATTTACCAGGAATGATGTACATATATTACCTTGCAATTTTATTCCACTATTGTATTGAAGCAGATTGATGCTAGAGAATGTTGGGGTCAGAGGTAGCCCATTGCATAACAATCTAAAACTAGAGGTATCTGTTCTAGTAGTTCAATACTACTATAGTTCAAGGATGCTTGAACTATTGAAAACGAGAAATAGCACCCTAAAATAGATATCTGGCAACTTCTAGAAATTATTCTACGTATCATACTGCATCCATAATAGCTTACAAGGATTCAAGTTCAGAGGGTGTAGTTCACATCCTGGAATTCTTGACATTGATCATGAAAATATTTCCTACCAATTTACATTTTTTATTCACCAGGAATGAATCTTAGCGGGTTCACAGCATGGAAAGTGTGCATTAGGGATTTAAAACTGTGCTGCATGTGGGAAGACATCTCTATCTTACATAATTGGACTGTCCTATTCCCCATAAACAGGGTATAGTGCCCAGCAGTATCACTTGAAGGTGAATTATATGATTACAAATTGGTGTACTTTGTCCCAGGGCAGTTTGGGGATAAAACAACCCAATGGTTTTAAAAAATCCAGGCCATATATAAACAAAGGCCTAGATTGATGCAGACTAATACTTAAAGATGGTAAAAGAACTATTATAAATGTTAATTTTCCAATAATTGAATAATGGACATTTTATTTGAATGGAGAAATTGTACTATAGGAATATATCTATTGGAAACTATACCCCATTAAACAGGGGTGGGATTCAAATTTTTTAACAACCGGTTCTGTGGGTGTGGCTTAGGTGGTGGGCATGGCTTGGTGATCATGTGACTGGGTGGACATGGCTTGGTGGTCATGTTATTGGCTGGATGTGGCCAACTCAATATCACTCACATTGGGGTACGCATCTCCTCCCTGGCCTCTCATGACTGTGGGGATGCTGCAACAGTCATAAGTGTGAAAAATGGTCATAAGTCACTTTCTTCAGTGCCATTGTAACTTTGAATGGTCACTCCACACAAGCAAAGTACAGCAAAGGAAAGGAAAAAAACTCCGCAGAAGTTCCTGAGACAGGAAGTCTAGTCCTGCCAAGAATGTAATAAGGGTTAACAGAGAGGCAGTTTCTGTAAGCAACACCAGAATGTTTCCTTCCTGCTTTCCTTACAGGATTAGGCCAGTAATTTCTTCTAACAACCGGTTCTCCGAACTGCTAGAATGTTAACAACCGGTTCTAGCGAATAGGTGTGAACTGGTAGACTCCCTCTGCCATTAAAGTCAGGAAAAATGTTGTGGAATTCATTGTAAATATTATTTGAAGTGAAATATCAATGTTAGGTATGAAAAAGGAGTAGATGGATAGATAGGAATCAAGGTCGAAGAGATTGAAAAACTCAGAATTTTTGCCACTGGAGTGGTTCATATATAATTACACACACAGGAAGTGTCTGTTTGTTTAGAATTCCTTTTACTTCTCCCTGTGGCCACTAATCACAGCACTGAAATATATTAACTCTAAGAAGTGCAGCATGGTATATTTTATTTCTAATATATTTAAATGGTATTACTATGTTATTATTATCCAGCATTTTGTAAGGAAATTATTGTAAGAGGAATCCCGTGGTATAGATATGCAATTTCATTCTACAGAAAATATTTACCATCCAAAGGTAAAACTAATTGACATTGGGATAACCTTTGAAAATTGGCTTAAGGATGTGCTTTATAGTGGGAATGCTTTTGTAATAGATGTCCACAAAACATAGATTGTTGAAAAAAAAGAAGTTTAGTAGTAAGAGGCATGGATTACTTCATTATTGGCTATATGATATCCTGGAGAATAGCATGAAATTGTAATACAAAAAAAGAAGCATACAACAAAGTAGAACTGCCAAAGAATCTTGGCAGCTTCAAAATAACCTTCTGTTGGACACTTTCTTAATGAATATATTGAGCTTAAATGGATTATACATCCATTATAAGTTAGATTCTATTGAGGTACTTGCTATTTGTTTTGTTTTTTAAATCTTGCATCTTCATTTGCAGTATAATTTTATTGATGATGTTCCAATATACATGCATTTGTGTTTTAAATTTCCATTTTTAATATTTAACAAAGGAACTTGTATATTTTATGCCTCACTCTCTCCCTCTCTCTCTTCCTCAAAAAACAAATGCACTTCATGCAAAGAAGACATGAGAGCAATTTGCACAGTTCTCTCTCTATTTCTCTCTCTATCTCTGGGTCTGTCTCTTTTCTCTGTCAAAGAGAGAGAGGGAGGGAGGGAAGGAGAGAGAGAGAGAGAGAGAGAGAGAGAGAGAGAGAGAGAGAGAGATAACTGTGTAAATCGCTCTGTCTTTTCTGCATGAAGTGCATTTATTCTTTACCAATATTTGAAATATAGGATCAAGTATTGAAATATCTTTATTGTGTCCTTTATGCAAAGAAGTTAGGATTTGCCTTCTTACTGTGTTCTCATACATAGGGAAGAGAGGTAGGCTAAATGAATATTTGTTCAAATGTGTTTGAAAAGTAACTCAAAAGCTTGCAAAAGAACTTAGTCAAGACTCAATAATAGGTATGTACTTTCCATGTGGTGAAGATCCTAGGAATTTACAACTAAATTATTCATTGGAACAGGAACTTTGGATATTTTTTATCTCTTTTATTCTAGTAAGGGATATTCAAAATTCTCTAATTCCGTTTAATCAGAATGAACAATAAAATTAAGAAAAAGAATTGAAATATTATTTAATTCATACAGTAAATGTAGGTACTCATGAGATAAAATACAAACCTAAGCCCTAAGATATCTTAGAGAAGAGATAAGATTCTATATAAGCTGAAAAAATGAAAAAAAAAATGCTATGGCTTTATATTACTGTAAATGACTGACAATAATTAATATTAATATTAATAACACTGTTATATAACATTGGATTATAATAGAGCTCTGTTTATAAAAAAGAAAATTATTGTAATTTAAAATTATGTGAAGTCTTGTAGATCATTTGCATTTACTGCTACTGTTATAAATGATTGTTATTTTCATAACAATTACTATTTTTAATATTAATACAATCACTTGTTTTAAGCAGCTGCATGCAAAAGAATATCCTTTTTTACCAACTCTGATTCAGTCTTTATTGAAGTAGTTTTAATACATGCTGATATTTTATTTATTTAAAGTATGCAATTACAACCTAAGTAAATAGATCTTTTTATAACTCGAATGAAGTCAGAATAAGCAATATCTAGTGACACATAAAAATAATACTAGTTAAGCATGCTTATTGAGGAGACTATGTTGAACAATAAATACACAATACTATTCTAAAACATCATGGTCATGTTGCTACCCTGTTTCTCCAACAATACGGCCTCCCCCAGTAGGAAGTCCCAGCATGTTTTATAGGCATGAAATGAAATTAAGCCCCTCCCCCCAAATTAAGGCCTATATTAAAACATGCAAAATGGGGGGGCTTGCCATTAGGAAGTACTTTTGTTGCACACCCAGATATGGTGCCGACTGCGTTGACCCCAATATGAAGTGCCCCACCAACACTAAGGTCAACATCCAAGCCATCGCCGCCCGCCGGAAGATGCAAGGGGGGGGAATTAAGTCACCCCTGAAAAGACGGCCTAACCACTTTGTCCGGGCTCAAAAAAAAATAAGACCCGGCCTTATTATATGAGAAACACGGTATATACTATGCCCCTTAATATAATCCTGTGGTTTGTTTTTTTTTATTCATGTTCTTAAAGTTTTGGAAACAATTTAAAATGCTGTAGTAATTACCAGTAGGCAAGATGATACTGAATAATTAATAAAGAAGCTGTACCAACCTTTTAAGTATATTAAAACTTCCTCCTCAGACAGTTTAAGAGAAATAGAATATTTTATCTCAGCAAGCAATACATTGAAAATCATTGATAATTACAAAACATTGTGTCATTCAAAAGATATCCATGTTTCATGAATTTAAGAAAGAATTTTAGCATTTAAAATTCTCAGGATTAAGTGTGTGCTTTTCTAGAATACATTTAAAAAATTATACATATGATAGAATGGTACATTGTTATTAAATAGAATACAATGCTAGCAATAGCTTTGTAGCAATTTGGCATATTTTAAAATTCATAGTCTTTAAAAAGGCTATTTAACATGGCATATGAGTGTACCTATACTGATTTATTTGCTTTGGATTTATTTAATTATAATTCTTTTAATTATTTTGTTGTACACAGTGGGACTAATTAACACTTGTAATTCAATTAATTTTGAATTTGATGAACTAGAAAAGGAAATTTAACATGGGAGCTGACGCAAAAGCTTTCGTATATTTGAAGTCACAGAATGATCTGTACATAAGCAAGTTGGATCACTCTGTTAATTCAGTGAAATAACATGAGAAAATGGAATCATAATATACAGATTACAAAAACACAGTCTGCTATCTACATAATTAGAGACAATGACATTAACAAAAGACTTCCAATCAAACTCAGTGTCAGCATCATTTGTATGGAAAGACAATGTCGATTAG